TGTGAATCACGTCAGCGCCTGACTAACAGCACAGGGGGCGACGTGACTTTCTGCTGTGCCTGTCTGCTCGTTTGCTTTGGGCTGCCAGTGTCTGTATGGCGCGGGGCTGCAGTGGGTGGCACTGTATCACACTGCCAGTGTCTATACGGCGTGGGCCTGCAGTTGGTGGCACTGTATCACACTGCCAGTGTCTATACGGCGTGGGCCTGCAGTTGGTGGCACTGTATCACACTGGCAGTGTTTATACGGTGCTGGGCTGCAGTGGGTGGCACTATCACACTGCCAGTGTCTATGCGGCACAGGGCTGCAGTTGGTGGCACTGTATCACACTGCCAGTGTTTATATGATACGGGGCTGCAATTGGTGGCACTGTATCACACTGCCAGTGTTTATATGATGCGGAGCTGCAGTTGGTGGCACTGTATCACACATCTTCATATCTGGGCTTTAGATCGCATCTCTGCTCTCTGTGTGCGGCTTTTTCCTGGGTCTGCTCTTTCCTCCCATCATCCAAAGATAAACAGTTTGGTTAATTGCTATTTCTAAAACTTAAACATGGATGAAAGGATATATCAACTCAATGTAAAACATTCATCTGAACAAACAAGAACATTTGTAGGTTCTGCAAATATTATGTTGCATAAGGTTTAGTATAAAAACAGTGATTTTAACAAATTTCTTTTGAGTATGTAATGTGCAAAGCAGCATGCAGGTACTCATTAGAAACACCAGACATTACTAGCCAATAAATAATTCAAAAACTAAATCTTTAGCTAAAAGGCTTTTTGAAAGGTGTATGAGTGAGCAGTAACAGTTATTTACCAATGAAAACAAGCGAAGTCAGCCTGATTAGCAGAGGCGCATAAGGCCTGGCAAGGTCTGGAATATCTGAAAGTAATTAAGGCATATTATGATTAGCACAGTTAACAGTGTCAGGCAGGATCATGCCATGCGCTTCAATAGCAATGTCAGGTGCAGTCAGATTGACGTCTATGGCTGGATTGAATAAACATGTAGTGAGACTTTTCGATTGAGGGTGGTGTCCTTAGCCCAGTCACAGCGCAGGTGCTGCACCTTCATCCTGGCCCAGGTAGTCGTGGATGTTACGCAAAGATCATACTTGTGGTCTTGGCAACACCGGTCTTGCTAACTTGCCCCCCAAGAACATGCTTGGGATGCAGTGAATCATGGGATTGGTCTCATTTGGAGAGGATGCAGCTGTATCCTTGATATTTGGGGCGGGGCAAGAACGACTTTTGTGGATTTTTACTGTCTTCTGTACTTCTTTTCTTAGTATTGGAAGTGGTCCTCGGCATCAAAAGATGACATAAAACGAGCACACGGGAACACAAATGCGGCGAAGTACGCATATCGAGAGACAGCCGTGGTGCCCTCCTGACACGCCCGTCTTCCTCCAGGTCGGCTCTTCCTGTTGGAGGCCCGGAATGGCAGCGGGGAGGCCGACGGAGCCGCAGCAGCGCAGGAAGCATGCGCACGACACGGGGCTCGTCTGGCCACCGCCGCTCAGCTTCGGCATGCCGTGGTGGAGTGCTCCTTCGCCACCTGCACCCGCGGCTGGCTGGCTGGGCCCGGCATCGGGTAAGAGCGCCCCCTGTCCCTTGACATCAGTACTGACACTGGTGATCCCATTGTATCATGATTGTTATAATTCCAGATATAACACCTGCTGTCCTTCAGCAGACATTGCATTATCGCAAAATAATTCAGCTTCATTGACCTGGGACCCGTTTCCCGAAGAGGGATTCATTTTAGGCACCTTGCATCAAGGATGTAACTTGACATGATTGTGGCTGATGTTCCTGCAGCTTGGAGGCTCAACTAGATGTATCATCAGTTCCAGAAGCAGGAGGGTGACACACTATATGGATTAAAGCATTACGACACCTGGCCAGGAGCCAGGAACTTTTATGACATCACATTCTAAAACTATAGGCAACAATATGGAGCTGGTTCCCCCTTTGCAGCTATAAGAGCTGCCACTCTTCTGGGAAGACTGTCCACAAAATTTTGGATGCTGGTGGGAATTTTTGCCTGTTAATCCAAAAGAACATTTGTGAGGTCAGACACTGATATTGGACGTGAAGGCTTGGCTCACAATGTCCTTTCTAGTTCATTCTAAAGGGGTTCAATGGGGTTGAAGTCAGGCCAGTCAGGTTCTTCTACACCAAACTGTCTTTATAGACCTTGCACTGTGACTGGGGCACAGTCAAGCTGGAATGTTAAAGGGGCTTCCCCAATAAAGCTGTAAATATAGAATTGTCCAAAATGTTTTGATATGTATACCAAGACATTGTGGGCAATTCTGTACTTTCAATTTGGTGGGAACAACTTGGGGAAGGTTCTTTTCTGTTCTTTTACTTTTGTCCATATAGTGTATGTCAAATAACCAGGAAGTTCATGTTTATAATGAGATGGAGACCAAACCTAGACTGTGTGATCCGCACCCACACTCTGCGTTTCACTGAGGGCGGCCTGATCCGACCTGCACTCTGCGTTTCACTGAGGGCGGCCTGATCCGACCAGGACTCTGCGTTTCACTGAGGGCGGCCTGATCAGAAAATTAAGTCTTAAGGAGCTTCAAGGTGAAGCCATGGGTCCTGGCTTTGTGTCTCATGGCCAGTAGGTCTGTAACGTAGGATCCCACCTGGAATGCAGATGTCTCCCTTACTGTCCCCGATCTCAGGCTGACAACTGAAGGCAGTGGAAGGACAAAGAGAACAAATTTCGGATCTTCACATTGCAAACTCAGTCATTCCAGTTTTCAAACATTTAATGATGTAATTCATTAGACATAGGAACTGAGCTAGAATTTCATAGAAATATCCAGCAGGAGAAATGCTACAATATTAGCTATTAGGTTATATTATATGCATGTCCCCTGGAATCAGCGGCGGCTCAGTGAGCAGCACCAGAGCCTCATGCTTGGACTCTCGCCTCTCTCTGTGGTATTCTCACGTTCTTATGTGTTTGCTCGTGTTTTCTCATGATTTCCCCTCCACAACCCAAAGACGGTGCTTTGTGGCGTGGTCTCTGACATCATCATGTGCCCCCATGACAAATTAACATGCCTGCCTCATGTTCCCTGCTTTGCTGGGGGAGGTTCCAAGCTCAGTGTCACCCCACACACTGGGGAAGTAATGCTTTCTTACTGCAAAATGAATTTTACACTCAAAGATTATTGGAAGACTTGTTCTGAGTGTAAGCAGCTGTATAATGATATTCTGATGTAATGCTACATTTAGGTTTGCCCTAGTCAAAATAGACAGGGGCTCTGTTCCAAACCACCACTAAATAGTGCACTGTACAGTGAGTCTGCCTTTTGGTAGTGCTGTTTGACTTCTCAATGGAAAATCAGAACCACTACAAAGTGCAAAATACCCATCATGCAATGTGAAGGAGACGCCTATTGTCATCTGGTCTCTTATGATACAAACAGGACTTTTTATTACTAAAAAACACTTGGATTATTTTATCCTTCATTCTGTTTATGTTATAGCTGTATTTTGCGATTCGCTGATGTTGAGTTGCTAGGATGTGTCACTGATAGTGATGTCATTTCTTGGGCCAAATGAGCGAAGAGTGATTTCCCCTGAAGTGGCTAACCTACTCTCCTCGGTAGGGTCACTGTTTGCAGCGAATTGGGCGGCGGCCAGCAGGCGATGAAGACAGTGGATGTGAAGGTGGAGAATGTCACAGCATTCAGCAGTCACCTGGATATCTTCTGCATGAAGGACCAAGGTCAGCGGATGGCTGCGTTTGCATCCTGTGGACGTGTTTCTGCAAACGTATCACTGAAATTAGCTATTAGCTTCACCCGGATGAACCTAACGACAGTCAAAGGGGGGAGCAAGTGAAAAAAATTTGCAACATTGTGCTTCATTTTTAACGTTGGACCAACACACTATCATTTGTGCCAAAAAGACATTCAAACACGCGTGTGCGTGTCCGAGGATGGGAGCAGCTCTGCACTGCGGGCAAGATTGGCATGCCCCCCCCCAGCCCCCTCCGAATGTGCCCATTGAGGAGCCAAGCCATCCCCCCTGACCGGCATGCGACTCTAGCTGTCGGCAAGCCGGTGTCATCCCATATGAGGCTGTACCTTACGCCTCCGTGACAGTGCAGCA